ATATGGGAGACGTTGGAGCTTTGCCTTGGCGGCATAACCGAAGCAGACGTTGCACACGCGCAAAACGTGGCGACCTTACCGGCCGCCCTCGGAGGCCTAGGCTTACCTTCTGCGGTTCGCACAGCCCTGGCCTGCATGTGCGGACGCGTCACCGGAGCTCCACAAGCGTTCCCCAGCTTTCGCTGAGGCCTGCACGCGCTTGCTTGCTATACCGACGGGGTGTGCGCCGAGCCTGAGAAGTGCGGTTGAGGCACGCGAGCTCTTCCACGCGGAGGGTTGGCACGAGTGCCCTTCTTTGGAAGCAATCGGAGCGGGAGCCCGTCCACCTCGCGTGACCGACCAGGGCTTGGGCGACTGGCCACATGGAAAGCAGTGCTGTGCATCGCGTATTCGAACCTCTTACTGTCGCGAACGCACGCTGCTGCCTTCCATGTCCCCTTCCGCCTGCGCACTTCTCCGGTCGCAGTCTGGCCCACAGGCCGGTGCTTGGTTGACTGACTGCCATACCTTGTGAGCCGGCCTGCGTGCTTCCGCCCCAAGCAATGCTTTTGGCCCTGCGCCGCCGCCTGCGCCTCCCGCTGCCCTTGTGTGCCAGCCGTTGTGGCCCCCCCGGTTGCGGAGGAGACGTGGACGCCTTTGGCGACCACGCCCTCGCTTGCACACGCACCGGTTTCATAGCTCGCAAGGCGAAGATCGTGGAGCGTGCGTGGGCGTCGTGTGTGGCTCGGGAGGCCGTGGGTCCGGATGGGCAAGTGGTCGCCCAACAGTGGTTGGCGCACACAACAGCACCTAACGTCCGCTCCGATGACCGGCGCCACATGGACATGGCCGCAACCCTGTGCTGCTGCACACGATGGAGCCGCCTCGCGTGTCGCCCAGCGAAAGAGAGCCGCGTACCCGGAACTGAATGGCGGCCCCCAACAACTCGTGGTGCTCGGGAGTGAGGTCGGCGGACGGTGGAATGCCGGTGCGCACCAGCTGGTCCGAGACCTCGTCCGTGTCCGTGCCCGGCGAGCTCCGCCAGCCGTGCGAAGCACCGCTTCGTCGGCATGAGCCAGGCGTTGGTGGACGATGCTGGCCGTGTCGGTGCAACAAGCCGTCACGAGCACAGCCCTCGGGTCAGCGTGGCCGCCGCCCCGAGAACCGCTGAAACGAGCGGCGGATTCGTCAGACTCATGCCAAAGTAAAAGATCCTACAAAAATTCGCCGAGACTGAGTTGCTTTATTGATGGTTGTTGCGGCTGAGGTGACAGTTGGAACACTCCGTGGCCTGGTCGATCTGATTCCATGATTTATGGCATGAAATACAAGCTTGCACTTTGAATCGAAACTCTCGACTTGAATCAGCATTGAGGCAAGTGCGCAGATGAATTGCAGAAATACGCCGAAACGACAAAGCAGGGCATGTTTCTCGGTTGCATTTGGTACTTCAGAGAGGCTCTCACATGGTCAGACTGCTTGATTCGGAGCAGCCAAGGGTGGAGTCCATCGAGGCGGAGAAGGCGCAGCGAACAGCGACACAGCGACATGTGAGCGGATGTAGCAGCAGCATGTGTCTGTACAGCTGGTACGACCGGCCAGGAATTTGTCAAAGAATATTCCAAAGCCGCACAGCAGATTGCGAGAATAGGTGATGTGGATCCTAGCAGGCAAATAGTAGTGGTGTGCCACCATGTTTTGGCGACCCAGCGAACTAAGGACCGTATGTGGCAAAGTGTTCAGTCTTTTGGCAGCTACCGGCTGTCCCAGCGTGTTCTGTGTGAGTCATTTAAGCTTACCAGCTTGGATCGGTCCCCGAACCAAGGTCCGACATCAACAAATCTTTGCAAGTGCTGTTGGGCTGCTTGTGGGCAGTTTGGAATTGCTCCTGTTACTTTTGCGGAAGCCATGCGTTAATTGGAACCCGGAATAACTGAATAACGTCCAACATCGTTATGAACTTGTGGCACGATGCACGGTTTGCTGCTGTGTCCTGAGGTGATGCCGATGAGACGGACAAGCTGGCAAAGAAGATGCGGCCGCAGAAACATAGCACAATTCGTCGGCTGTCAATGGCGATAAGTGTTTGGCATTTTTTGGCGTGGAACCGTGTCCTATTTCAGGACACCGTCGGATGAAGCGGCAGAGGGCCAAGCACCCTGATTCGATGCCAAATGAGCCAATCTCGCGGCCTGCAGTGCAGTCCCGCACTTGGGGCAGCAAATCATGGACAGTCGTGGCTGATGAGGCTTGCAAAAAAATGAGCGCATAATGGAACAGTCCGACTTGCCATGTAGCCGGTATCGAATCGAAGTCGTGTCAGTTGCACGCGCCACTTTTTCTACATTTGGCTCCGGTGTTGGATGATTGTCGGCTGCCGGTTTACAGTCGATATGGAGTTGATGTGGGTTTCTTTTGCAACGCCTTGGGCATTGGTGTTTGTTGGCGGACATATCGTCGTAGCGGCATTCGCCGAATTCGACAAAAGAGCATGTTGATTGTGCCACAAGTGCTTTCGTACAGTGTACATCAACATGTGGGGATGTGCGAAACAACTGAAACTTACCCTGCAGGGCCTCGAAAAATCATGGTGCCATGGCCTTTGACATGGGGAATGCTGTTGCTGATTTCGGGTCAGGATGTTCAAACATCGAAGGACACTGCTTGTGTTGGGTTGCAGCGTCAGTGAGTCAAGGCATCTGTCCTTCAGAGCTGGCAGGAACTGGCATGCCCAGAGTTGCCACGAAATTCGGTGGGTATATGCGTGGAGGAATGTGAAACGAACGACGACTGTCCCGCGGCCACCAAAACTTTCTTTTGATTGTCAGCTAGTGGTGAGTGGACGAAAAGCACGGCAGAGGTGAGTTGCGTGGACAGAAAGGCCACTGGTGTTGCAACTCGTCCAAACATGTGCGATGCCTTGCGCAGTGCTCGAGTGCCCATTCTGCAGCATGTTTGTTCACCATGTCAATGTGCAGGCTCAAACGGATGTGGTCACAGCTGTACAATGCCAGAGAGGCTCTCTCCAAAGCAACTAAATGAAGCCTGTGCTCTTCGGAATTCTGAAGCCGAGGGTGGGAGCAATCGTCGCACCGGCAAAGAGCTTTGAAATTATCGCAGTGTTGCTCAAGGCTTTGTCCGTGATGGTGTTGAAGACTCCCATCAGCAAATGTGCGAGAAGCTAGAAAACGGGATGTATCAGTGTCATGTCCAGGACGCTGCCTTTGCAGATGTTTTACATGAGCTCCCCCGCCCCTTCTCAAAGTCCGAGCTGCGCTCGCTGCTACTTCTTTGCATTGGCGGCTGTCTAGACATTCGCGAGGCAAGGCTTTTCCCTGTAAAGGCTTTCATGGAAGCATGTTCATATTGGGCAGATGATACACTTGTTGGATGTCGCTTGCTCCTGTACACCCTAGGCACATGCTGACAGTAAAGTACGGAGCTGGCAATGCTCGTGATGCATGCCAGGCGGTGCCTGCGGTTTACAATTTTGATGTTGAGTCCATCTAGGATTCCAGCTCGATCCGGCAAGGCTTTTCGAAAGCTGTCGGCTCATGTCAAGGCAGGCTGTAGTTTCTTGCGTTCTTGTATGGGACGAAGCCGTATTTGCTCCGGGCCAGGTATCTTCCGTTGAATGGGATGGATCAGCTCCGAACTGTCAAGAGATTGAGTTGTAAAAGTGCGAGACCGAAAAACACGCGAGGGCCTTTGACTCGGGCGCTCCGAGCTTCGGGCACGGCTGTGACGACTCAAAAGCCGGTGTGCTTTATTGCAGCATAATTCCTGGTCTCGCAGGAGTATTGTGAGTAGTACCGATGACCGCCTGTGTTGAGGTTGCCATTCAGATGAATCGTGGGTTTTTTTTTTGACTCTTGGATTTTGCGGGGTGCGACACAGCGGCAGTGGAGACGATCAAGATCCGCAGCTGACTGGTTTGTCTTCCGAAACACACCACTGCCCACTGCACCACGGTGTACGCCGAAGCTCAAGCATTCAGCATGGTTTAGCATGGGTCTAAGTTCGCGTCTTGAAAACTCTGTTCCAGAGCACCTCGGCTCGGGATTCTTGATTGCTTCATCCTTCTAACCCCGGAAAGCCCTGACATGATTCTGCACGAAGCCTCTGCACGAAGCCGAGTTGTAGCCAGCAAGTTGTACTCTGCATGTTTTATGCTCTGTCTCATTCTGTCCTCGGCTGAACCATATCAGCTCGCAGCTTGTTGGCGGCACCAATGCCGTCTTTGCATCTTCCAGCGAGTTTCCTTCTGTGTTTGGTCCTGAAGGTCCCGTGCCACTCACGGCCGTCGACGCATCCCCGCCTTGCGTCCTGCAGCTTCTTTTTTGGGATGGGGGCTTAGTGGCCGGAGTAGGATTCCTGCATTTCTCTCAGGCCCCGCCATTGCTTTGCAGAGTCATCGATGCCGAATGAGGGGCGATCTGGCCAAACTGATGTGCCTCGAATGCACATGCTGGCATTCTGGGGATCACGGGCCATTGCTGCGCAAACACCTTCGCTTCTTGACATCCACAGGTGCCCTTCAGTATGCGGCCATCGGCCACACCATTTATTCCATCCAGGCGATACTTGATTTCTCATGATGGGCACAGGTATACCGGTAGTCATGCATCGAGAGCAGCCTCAGCAAGTGCAGCTTGAGAATACTTTGAGGAGCTTCAGCTAGGAATCGTTCATGCTGGCATTGGGCAGGCTGAGACCATGTCCATGCCCACCTGTGAGACAAGCTCATGGTGAGCAGGCTGTGGTGCAGGTGCTTGACCCAACAATGGAGAAGCTATCTGTTGTCCTGTGTTCGACACACATCGTTGTACAAGGAAGTCACGGAACCAGATTCTACACTACTGGAGTTGTTGGTTGCATTCTCCGGCGCGCTCGTCGCTGTAGTGTCACCTCTGTCTGTTTTCGATGCACATGAGACGTAGAGGGTGCTAGCTAGAGCAAGCATCAGAGCCGCGCCTTGCATCTTGAACAGAAACGCCACAAAACCTAGCGCAGTCGAAGATTCTGAGAGGTGCAGCGGGACCAACCTGTTTCTCAATCCCAACCTCCACCGGATGCACGGAAGATGGCCTCTCGGACTGCCAGACAGGAAGACACTGAAACCTTGGCAAGGCATACCTCATGCACCGTGTCAGTGTATACTTTTCCATGACAGGAGTTCAGTTCGGAAGCAAAAACCCGAAAGTCACAAGTCCCGCGATCTGGTAAACCGTTGAACTTCAACTGTTTGTCTTCCCAGGTCCAGCCAGAATCCTCGAGGTGCAATGACCCATGAGGGGATAGGATATTGACGCTTGCAGACAGAGTGGAGACACAGATGCACCGCAGAAATCCTCCTTCCGCGTCCACAGTTGGCAACGGAGAAACCACAGTCCGTCTCTCAGCCAGACGAAAGTGCGCTCACACACATGTTCTGCAGCTGTTTCACATGCCAAGGTTGCCGTGTTCCCCAGCATCTCGCGGAAATACTTCCGTCACACGCCCTCAGACCCGAGCTTGGCCAGCGGTGGGGATCTAAATCTGCCACGACGGACTCAGCAGCACTATCGCGGGTCAGGTGGGGACCTGGCGAGGAGCTCGGTTTGAGGTCTGGTCGTCTATGTTCGGAAATTGGGAAGAGAAGAGAAACCAGAGAAGACATGTCTGCCTCGCAGCTGTTTGCCCAAGCCAGGGCAGGGTACGACCTTGATAGAATGAGTTGCACTTGGCGACGTCCGGAGCTGAAAGACCAAGCTCTTCAGGACAGGTCTGGAATGGTTTTGGCTTGGGACAAAGGGTCTGGTCACCAGGAGACCGGCTACTTCTTGACTGCATTCCTCGATCCGGAGGCCCGCCGGAGGCCCCAAGCTCCTTCCAGAAGCTTGTTTCCATTCCTCGCTGCAGGCGCTTGGAACACTTTCCTGCGTCAGTCACACGTGGGCTGGGCCGGCTTCCTCCTTTGACTGGGCAGGTTGCTGCCAGGTTGGGGGCGGGCTCGACAAAATTACGATCTCTTCATCATTTTCCTTGGCCTGCAAGGCTGATTTCGGTGCCGTGTGCTCCCAGTAGCCTGGGCAGATTATTTCTTGGTTGTGAGCAGTCTTATCAGTCTCTCATGCTTGCGTCACCCGAATGCCAGAAACTGGCCACCCCTGGCAAATTTCAGAACCTTTTGGCAGAAGCCGACGGGCTTTCTGCTCGCGAGCTTGCACTCAATCCTTTTGCCTCCTTCTGCTTGGGGAAGTATGGCCTAAAGGTGGCTGTGGTACCGAGGTATCTTAGATATTTGGAGCTGGACAGCCACGCTGGTACAAGATTCAGTTGCCCGCCAGCAATGAAGCAAACTTCATCACCTCACGATATGTTCTCGAGCGAATGCTTGCGACATCGAGCGTTTACTATTACACCTCCCTTCGACCCCTCCCCCGGGTTTCTAGTGTTGTGGTTTGCGTGCGGGGGTGGTAGTTTAGGATTTAGGACAGGTATGCGATGTTCTGCGAGGGATCTGGCCGGGCGAGCTCAGTTCAAGCCTGTGGAAAAGGACATACCTGTCCAGCCCCCCCGAAGGGGAAGCCAGGCACTGGTTTTGCCGAGGTCCCCAACTTTTAGGGGAACCCCGTTTAGGGTGCCTGGCACTCCAAAACAGGCGGCGGGCATGAGAGATCTGCTTCTCTTTTTGGGTTTGGGGTTGGCAAAGTTGTCCTCCCCATGCTTGGCTCCGCGGGCGTCAGTTGTCTCCGGCTGCACTGTTTCGGACGGAGGAGGCGTTTTCTGCTAAGGGATGTCCAGGTCCAAGTCGGTCGAGCGGCCCCCCTTGCATGCGGGGAGGAGGCAGACCAGGGAGGGGAGAGGAAAAGCCAGGAAAACTGCTGGAATTGGCCAAAGTGGACTGGAACGCAGGGAAAAGGACAGGTCAAGCAGGGGCCGGGGGGTCGAAAATGTGCCACAAAAACGCATGTCAGTAAATTTTTGGGATGCAGGGAGGAGAATTAGGTGGTGGGTACTTGGTTTAACCCTCAAGACGGCCGGAGGCCCGTGACCCAGGTATGTCACCGAGTTTGTACATTTTCTATTGGCTGAGGTTGGCGCTCGCTCTACCTGCGACTACGAGCATTCCATCGTCAGCTAGAGCCTCGCCCAGAGTTCTGCACTGCAGAGATGCTGTTCGGGTCCCGTTTACATTGCTTAGGATGCTTTCCCAAACTGCTTGCAGCATCGCTTCAGTCCAGAAGCATGGAGAAATGCTCCCTCGGTCCGATTGAGTCAGGCGCAGTTGCCTCTGCAAGTAGTCCGGTGAGAGTCGTAGGACTCGGCAAGGCAAGGCTAAGAGCATGTCCCGATTCAGGATGCTTGCCGATTGGTGCAAGGAGGGCACTCGGTGCTTTTCTGTGGCGATGCCGAGTCTCGACTTCCTCTTGTACAGGGGTACATGTTCGCATGGTTTGTTACTGTCGCAGCAAGCCGTGGAAGCATGTTCGGAATGGGCACAGGAGCATGTTGGGATTCTGTCAATGACATCGGCAGCAGGTTCATCTCACCCATCTTTCAGGCACAGCTGGCTGTTGGGAAACATGAGCCAGCATCAAGCTTGCTAGTTTCTGCTGGTGTTTGTGGGCTGCCCGTGCTTTGCCTGGAGCCGGCAGGCCCGCAGACTTTCTCGATGCCTCTTGGATGCACATCGTTGAAATCTTGGACGTGAGCGGCTCTTCAATCTCTTGTGCTCGAATCAGTTTCGAGACGAGGACGGTAGAGTTGGTTATAGCAGGTTATAGATCAGCATGGCAATTTTGCCTTGAGCTGAGGTGGTGCCGGTCACGCCGCATTCCGTCATTGGTGTATCCCTGGCTCTAGACTTGGAGAGGTGGTGCTTCAAAGAAAAGGCATCGTGCACGGGCAGATCGCCAACCGGACTTGAGAAGGAAGATCATACGGAAGATTTGAGACTTTTCGTGGAACACGTTGCTTGTCTGAGATTTCGGTATAGATCTCGGTCAGTGCAAAAAACGAATGCAAACATGTGAAAATTCATCTCTGGGTAGCACGTCTATGATGCAGTTTGTTTGTTTTCGTCAGAAGGTCGCGGCAAGGCTCTTCGTCTTCGCAGGGATTTATATCCATGCGTTCGACCTCTTATCACTCGAGAAGACCTACGTGTGCGACTTACATAAGACGGCCTTTACCCGACTTCCCAACGAGTGTGAGCCTCTGCCAGTCGAAGCCTTGGAATGCCGCTCTGAGGTAGTGTCTGCTCCGAGCTGGGGGAGGCGTTTGGGGCGCGATGGTTGTTTGCACTCCAAAGCGAAGGCGTTCAGATGCTGTACGATGCCAGGCATGCAGAGCAGCTCCTTGCGCGATGGGATTATGGGGAAGCTTTTGTCGCTTACCAAGTTGAAGGCGAGATGTGCATCGAGTGCCGACTATTCGTCACATTGTGTCGTGTGCCAGGATGCGAGGCCTGCATATGGTCCACTTCAGACGGCGAAGACTTGGGCAAGATCACACCTGGTAATCAACTCCTATGCTGCGATATTACAAGCTTCTCTTTTGGAGGCAGCAAAAAGCTGGTGGCAACCTTGGAGACTGATGGAGGCATACGAGTTTTCACCAACGCGCAAAGTGAATGGCGTCTTGCCCAAGCCGTGCAGACTCTTTCCCTGGTTGTAGAAGTCAAGTTGGAACGACACCTGCTGGTCGCTGTAAGTCATTCGGCCGGCACGGGTTCTGTGCACGTTTGGCATTTGGGCTTCGACACGAATTCCAGTGATCCAGACGTTGTACTACTCCTGCAAGAGTATTGCCAGCGCGATTGCAGCCAGCCTCCGGACAGAGTCGAAGCCAGGCATGGAGGAAGGTTTATTGAAGTTCAGTTCCTGACGGAGGGATTGTCGGTGGATGGGATCTATGACGTTGAATGGCTGGAGCCGTCCCGGTTGCGTTGCTTGCTGGCATTGAAAAGTTGCATTGGCGACTGGAGATGTGACCTGAGAGATGCGATCGGTGTGCTCGGCAACGACAGTGAAGGTACTGTCCTTCGCTGGTTGCTCTTATGGCAGCCACTGCATTCGATTCAAGCGAACATGCACAGTTCGTGGCAAAACGCGGCATGCTTCTTGATATCTCCTGGTCCTAGCCTCGTCTGCTTTATTTTTTGGTTTGTCTCCCGCAGGAGGTGAATTAATTTGGGAAGGCGAGCAGTAATTTGTAAATCGCAAATGCCGAGGCTATTCTCGCAAGCCATAGAGAGACACGTCCTGCAGTATCTGCCATTTCTACACGGGCTTGGCACCTCATGATGCTCTCATCCTTCGCTTTTGTAGCCGGTCCACTGAACTAATCCGGCCTAGACTTGGGTTTGCTGGGCTGAGCATCTGCATGTGGCGACGATGCGCGACACATGAAGAATCAGAATGAAGATGTGAATGATTCCCAAGGATGCTCAGCCTTCCGGGTCCAAGAATGGATGGACGAGGTGTGTGGCCAGTGCCTCCAAGAGTTCGTGTATTTGGCTCATGAAAGGTGGCCTGGACAAGCGGCGCTCCTAGATTCTCTGGAGTTCCCTCGCTGTCTTGACATGCCGCCATAACAGTATCCCATCAGTGCTGAGTTGAAGCGCTAAATCAAGAGCTAGACGAGCAGTTTGCTACCTCTTGCCCAGGCTTTCGTGTCACTTCAGTGGCAGTCACATCGAGGACATCCTAGGCATGTGGTGAAACACACTTGTGTGTGCAGGGACACGTTCGGCGATCGACGCATCCGCCGCAGCATTCGCGGCTTTGCGTCGACGCCCCCCGACTTTCAGCTTTTCTCCTAGCCTCCTCCTGGCGCCATGTCGTCGGTCCCGTCCTCGGCTGAGCTTGCTGCGGCGGCCGGCGTGCTGCAGGCCGCTCTGGACGCTGGAATCGACCCGGCGATCCACTTCGGAGGATGGACCCGGCTCCAGCGTCGGGCTTTGGTGATGGCTGTCGGGGCGTCGGAAGCCGCCTATGCTGATGCGAAGGCCGCGGCGACGCCGCCTGTGAAGAAGGCGCCCGCTCGGCCACCGGTGGACGTCGCCCCGGCCAAGGCGGTGTCGCCTGCGCCGTCCACGGTGACCCAGCCGGCGTCCGAGCCTATGAGCCACCTGGACGCGGCCACCGGCGGTCAGTCGGCCGTCTTTGGAAAGTCGCCACCCCCGGCGACCTGGCGCGAAGTGGGGTTTCAGTCCAGGGAGCACGCCGAGGCGGCGGCGGCCATGAACTACGTGTCGGCCCTGGCGTTCTATGCTGCCATGGGGCGGGGCGAGCTGCAGGTGGGGCCTGAGCCGCGGCCGCCCCCGCCCCGGCAACCGGCACAGGCTGCGTCGTCCTCTGGTGACCAGGCGGGCCCTCTCGCCGGCTACCTGGCGGAGGCCGACGCCAAGGCGGCCGAAGACAGGCGAATGCGCGAGCTCCAGGAGCGCATCGCCGGCGAACTTCGGCAGGATGAGGCCGATCGGGAAGCGGCGTCGGGGTCAGGGTCCAGACCGGCGCAGCCAAGGGCTCGCTTCCCTCAGCCGGCCACAACACCGGCGCCGGTCCAGGCGCGCTATCCGCATGCCAATCGGGAGACCGGCGAGGGGTTCCCGGCACTCCCCCGCAAGCCGGCTCGCAACGCGTCGGCGGCTGTGGCGGCGGCTGCCGACAGAGAGTACAGGACGCTCGTCGAGGAGCGCAGGCAGCTGTGCTCGGCGGAGTGGCGCGCCCACATCCGCGCGATGGAGGCTCCCGGCGCTCAGTCCACCGAGCCCATCGTCAACGGCGACCTCCAGCAGCTCGCCGGGCTCGCCGTCGCGAACCTGGCGCAGCTCGGGGACATTGAGCACCAGGCGGCCACCGGCGAAGGACAGATGATGCCGCTCGCCGGCGAAGCGGCCTACTTCTTCGTGCGCTCCCTGCCGCCCGGCGTGAGAGGGATGCGCGTCCCTGAGCGCCTGAACGGCGAGGTTTGGGTGGTGGGCTGGTGCGGCCGCCCCTGCCCCGCCGGCCGGGACTGCCTGTCGACCGTCGAGCGCTGCCTGCGGCCCATCGTGGTTCGTCGTGGGGCCGGCGCTCAGCTCGGCGACCTGGCGGCCCACGAGCACCATGAGTGCTCCGAGTGCCATCGGGCCGGCCGGCGTGGTCGCGACTACTAGGTCTCGGCCGTGCCGGCGCACTTCGTCGAGGAGCTCTTCTACAACTTCGCTGGTTCGGCGAGTTGTCGCCACCTTCCTCGTCGAGTGCTTAGTTTTGTGTATTTCCCGGCGGATGCTCTCGCGAGCCTCTCCGCGTCATCAGTTTTGGCGGAACACGTCGGCTGTAAGCACCGGCGTGTTTCACCACGCAGTTTGCACCTTTGCACTGGGAAGAAAAGCCGGCGACCCGGAGTGTGCATCGTCATGTCCTGTGCCTGCGTCGTCGTCGTTACTTATTTTTCTTTTTCTTTAGGCAGGCGAGGTGGCTCGAGGAGACCGGTTTCCCGGCACACGCCCGACCATGCCGGCGGTCGACCTTCACGGCCGCGACGGTTTCGCCCTCCTGGCTCGAGCGTTCGTCGAGCTCGGCGCTATAAGGAACACCTCCCCGCACTCCCGGCGGCCGGGGCCCGAGATGTGGCCTCCGCCCTGGCGTCGGCATCCGCCTTGGTCCAGGCGGGGGTGCCGGCAGAGGTGTTGGTGAACTTGGCGTCGTGGTACCGCGACCGCGCCGGGACCGGGTCTCCGACCGACGGGCCCGGCAGCGTCGCGTTGGTTATCAGCTCAACACCGGCCCCCCTGGCGGCCCAGGGCGCGGCGACGGTGCCACAACCGGCGGCGGTCGGTCAGTCGACCGCCGCGACGGTGCACGGGGGCGACGGTCCGCCACCCGATCCGGCGCCGGGGCCTCCCGGCCGACGGGGCGACCTTCCCGTGCGACGGGAGGTACGACGGGCCTGCAAACGCTCGGCCCTCGAGGCGGCGCTGGCGGAACACCGGCAGGAGGCCCTGGCTGACCTTGACGAGAACGTCCTGGCGCGCTCGCAGGGACCCTTCCAGTCGCGGGTCCGCACCTGGGTCGACTTGTCTGGCCCATCTCCCTGGAAGCAGTTCGCAGCGTCGCGGCGTCGCTGCGTCGCGGCGGCTACCGCTCCGCCCAGAACTACTTCGACGCGGCGGTGGCCTACCAGGAGCGGTTCCGGGAACAGGCGGTCGACCCGCTGCTCAAGAAGGCGATGCGGCGTTACACCCGGGCGGTCCTTCGGGGCCTACCCGGCAGCCGGCTTAAGCAGTGTCGGTGGACCGGCTGACCACCCTGGTGACGATCAGCGACGGCCCGGCCGATCGGGCGTGGTCGCCGTGGACGTCGGCACACGCCGCGGATGCCCTCCTCCTGGCGGCTTGGTTTATGCTTCGTGAGATTGAGTTCGCGGCGGCACGGACACAGGACCTCGAGGCGGCCGGCGGCACCGTCACCATCCGGGTACCCCTGCACAAGGCGGCCACCGGCGGCCAGACCGAGCTGACCATGCGCCAGCTCAGGTGCGCCTGTCGCGTGTCGGTGTCGCCGCTGTGCCCCTACCACGCGGCGGTCAGGCACACGGACCGCCTCAAAGCGGCGGGGCTTTGGTTCAGAGATCGGCCGCTCTTCCCCGACAGCTCCGGCGCTACTTGGGAGAAGTCGTCGGCCATCCTTCTCTTTCGTCGGGTCCTGGTGGCAGCCGGCATACAGACCACGTCGGTCGACCACACCGGAGCGCCGGTCCAGCTGTTCGGCGGACATCTGGCCAGGGTGGCCGGGGCGTCGTGGTTGGCGTCCAAGGGCGTGCCCACCCCGGTCTGGTTCGGCGGTGGCGCAGGCCCCGGCGGCCTCAACCCACCAGGCGCCGGCCCTCTTGGACATCGACCGGACCGGGAATACTGGGGTCCCCCGGCAGGACTCGTCACCGGCGGAGTTTTCACCCGCGGTCGACTTCGTCCCGGAGCCCACGCCCGACCCGGCGGCCCTGACAGCCGCGACGGGGGCGGCGCCCGAGCACTATATCTACAACGCCAAGGCGCTGAGAGTGCACGCGGCGGACCCGGCCGAGGCCTCGGCTGACAGGTTCCTTTGGAAAACCAAGGGGTGCTCCTGGCCGTACGGCGTTCGGGCCTTTTACCGCATCACCGATAAGCCGGCGGATGCGGCGTGGTGTTTGCGCTGCTTCCCCCAGTTTCGGGACAAGCCGGCGCCGGGCTCGCCCACCGAAGAGGCGGAGTCACCGGTTGCATCTAGCTCCGCCTCCGCGGACTCGTCGGAGTCGTCGGACTGAACGCTCTGGGCTGAGGAAAGGACCTAGTCAGGTTGTCGTCGGCAGCCCGTCTGAGTCAACAGCCGGCCCGTCGACTAGTGCCGCGTCTCTGCTCCGTTCGCCCCGCCTCCCGCCCTCGTCGCCGGTGCCATGGCTTCGGCGGCTTTGGTCTCCTCGGCTATGGTGGAATTCCCCACGCTGGCGGCGTCGGCTGGTGCCGGCCCCGACATGCTGGCGTACCTTGAGGCGCGCTCCCTCAATCGCACGGCCACGCTGGCGCTTGTGGCGGACACCTGGGAGAGCGTGGATACCAAGGTGTTCCGGCCCTTTCGCGACGGCATCGTCGTGGCCGGCACCTTGCACAAGGTGGACGACGAGGAGGCCCCGGTGGCACAGGCGATTCTACGCCACATGTGGTCGGAGGCGAGGAGGCAGTGGGACCTGTTCTCGGCCCCGCCTCCCCGGCCGGCACCGGCCACGCCGGCACCCTCGCCGGCCTCGGCCTCGCTGACACCTGGCCCCGGCGATAAGCCGCCCAAGCGCTTCCCGGATTGGGGCCGACTCGTCGACGCATACAACAAGGTCCTCTTGGGCGGCGAACCCCGGACCTTCCCGGCTGACGAGCTCCTCGGCGCTGAGGACGTGCTGGCGAGGATGCACTGGGAGCACACGAGGGACAAGCTCTACACTCCCGTCGCCATCGGCGAGATCCTCTCCAAGCGCACGTTCTCGTGAACCCCTTGTCGGCCAGGCGTAGCACCGGCTCGGCACCGCACCAGCTCAAGCTCGTCGACGGCGCCCTGGCCGTTGAGGAGGACCGGCCCCTGGTGCCCAAGGGCATCTGGTCCGTCGTGGACGGCCTCACGGCGATCAAATGGGCGTGGATCCTCATCCAGCTCCGGCACCGAAAAGGCCATCGTCGCGTACGTCGATTGGTGGATCGGCAAGGCCAGACTGCGGTCCCACCAACTCGACGCTGTCGTCGATTACTGGGATGCCGCTTCACACCGGCTTGCGTCGGAGATGCGCCTCGGCAGAACCTTCGACGAGGTGTCCCGCCACATCACCGGCGACAACCTGGCCTTCAGCGAGGCGATGCTGGCGTCCAGGCAGCCGGCCAAGAAGACACACGCCACCCCGGCCAACGAGGACTACACTGGCGAGCCCGACGACCAGCCGAAGGGGAAGGCCAAGGGGAAAGGCACCCGCCGACGCCCCGGCAAGCGCCAAAGAAACGCCACCGGCCGGGACGGCCGGGACCAGGACTGGGAGGCGGACTGGCCCAACCGGCGGTGGACCAAGGACGACCGGGATGACGACAACCGTCGTGGTGGCCGCTACCAGCAGACTGGCCGCAACGACGAGGACAGGCGTGGACAACGCCAGTGGCGCGGCCAGCAGCAGTGGCGCGGCCAGGGAAACGACCGCGGCGAGGAAGGCCGTCGCGGCGATGATCGGAAGAGGCGCTAGGGACAGCACGGGCCCCCGTCCACAGCCGAGACCGGGGACGGGGGACCCGCGGCGCCAGGCGCCACCTTGGCTGTCAGACCGGCACTTCGCCGGCGGAGAAGGCGGCTCGACTACATCGTGCTCTCCTTGTTCGACGGCATCGGCGCCGCACCCGCCATCCTTGAAGACTTGTATGGCGAGCCGGTTGCGGCGTTCTCGTGGGAGGTCGACCGGCTCTGCGTCAAGCTGGCGTCGGCGAGGCTACCGTGGCTGACGAACCGCGGCGACCTCACTGCCGACTCGGCCCAGGCAGTGGCGGCCGCCATCGAGAAAGCCGACCCCCAGGCCCGGGCGATCGTCATCGTCGCGGCGGCGCCTCCGTGCCAGGACTTCTCTCGGATCGGGTCGGCAGCCGGCCACGCTGGCGATAGAGGTGGCCTCTTCCTCAAGTCCGTCGACTTCGTGCACGACATAGCGGGGCTCATCGGCGACCGCCGCCTGGGCTTCCTCTTCGAGAACGTCGTGATGGAGCCCAAGGACGCGGCGGTGGTGTCCGAGGCCCTGGGGGTTGAGCCATTCGTCGCCTGTGCGTCGGACTTTGGCTGGATATCCCGCCCGCGGCTATGGTGGATGTCGCCGGCGGTGACCACTTTGTCGATCGACCCGGCCCAGGGACGGCAGCTCCAGTGGGGCAAGCAGGGGTCGTTCCGACGACTTCGGCTGGAGTCGCCACGGGCACCGTCGGAGGACATGGAAGCGGATGGTCTTTTCTTCCACGAGGCGGTGACGTCGGGCCGGCTACGGCTGCCGTGCGCCACCACCCCGGCGGAGGATGAACAGGGGCGACCGGCGCCCAAGCGCGTCCGGCAGAAACTGCCAGAGCCGGCCAAGGTGCGATGGGCGGCCGATGGCCGACGCTTTGCTCCCTGGCACTACGTCGAGGAGGCGATGATGCACGACGCCGCCGGCCGCTTGCGCATCATCCCACCGGCGGCCAAGGAGAAGCTGCACATGCTGCCCCCCGGCTATACGGCGGCCGACTTCCTCGACGACCGGGCCCGGCACAAGATGCTGGCCAACGGTTGGCATTGGGGCGTGGCGCGTCGGCTGCTGGCTATGTTGGTGGTCCTGACCGCGGCAGGCCCGGTGCAGGCGGCACCGGCCCCGGAGCCCAGGCGGTCCACGATGCAGTGGATGGTCGAACAGTTTGGCGGCGGCCCGGTGCCCATGGAGCCGCCGCCACGCTTGCGACCGGACCTGGAACTGCCTGACGACGACCCGGATAGGCGCTGGCGCCTGGCGGGTCAACTGGTACATTGCACAGTGGCACGCCGGCCGAACCTGGAGCCGGCGCTTGAACGGGTGCTGGAGCTGTGGACGCATTGGCGCCATGAGCTCGCCCGGCTGCGTCGGGAGGTGCTGGTCGAGCTGGCGCAGCTGGTCCTGGACATGCAGGAGACCACGGAGGAGTGGTTGGCGTCACGGTCGGCGCCCGTCAGGTCCACTTACACGGTGCCTGGCAAGGCCCGGCACACGCAGATCCCCGTCGTGCTGACTCTCCTCGAGATGGTCGGTTACCCGGACGTGGTGGGCCTGACGGCGGACCTCACGGACGGCTTCGACATGCTGGGCGAGCTCAGGCGTGGGCCCGGCTGGAAGCCGCGGACAGACGGCCGATACTCCAACCCGGCGTCGCTCGACACATTGGCGTCGGTGAACTGGAGCTACGTCAAGGACCGCACGTCGAGGCCCAGAACTGGCGAGTACACCGAGAAACTCCTGGCGGAACTGGTGGACGAGACTCGACTCGGCCGTGTCGTTGGGCCCACCCGGCCCCCGGCGGGCTGGAACATATCGACAGTCCCGCTGGTGAACGTAGCCGGCGCCGACCGGCTGGTACCACCACCACCGGGCAGGCATTTCGCGGCGGCGTCGTTCCCCATCATTCAGGAGGACGAGAACGGCGCCACCAAGGTCCGGAGAGGCGAAGATTGGCGTCGGGCCGGCCACAATGCCACGGTGAAGGCACACGACGTGCC